AAGGCTTTGTGCTGCGAGTAATGAGGAAATGCCTTTAAGGCGGAGGTGTGGATAAGGGATCCGGCTACAAGAACGACAGCGTTTATTTCAAAGTCAAAAGACATAAAAAGAGAAAAAATTGTTCTAAGAGCTTGGGACTTTATCGGAAAGGCATGTTCAGAAGCGGCAGTTGCAGGCTGTGAGCGGCAAGCGAAGACCCGGAAGAGAAGCTAAAAAGCTGGAGAAGAGAAGGAGGAGGAGGACCATTCCTGTTTTATTCGGAGGAAAAACCATCCCAAAGACAGAAGAATCAGCCCGCTAGGCGTTTGAAAAGTTTTTACTAACAGCAAAAAAGTGGGACACTACTAATTCTTTTTTTTTAACAATTGTTTATAACTGAGAAGATGAAAGACGATTGACAACACAATGAAGCCAAAGAAGAATTTTTTTTGTATTACTAACAGTCTAACATACTAATGAAAACATCACTCGACCTTTTCTTTACCCCTCTATATACCCTCCCCCCTTTCTAATATGAAAAGCAATAAAATTCTCTCCTTTTTAGGAGAGTTTATATACAAAAAAAAAAGAGAGGAGATTTGAGCAGAGCCCCTCTGTTTTGTTATGTACCTCTGCCTTAGAGTATTTGGGGTGTATTAAAAGGCAAAGCTCTGCTGGAACCCATCATTTGTTGCATAAAAGAGTGTTTTTGCTTGGGTGACAAAAACTAGTTGAAGTACTATAAAACCAGCAAGGATGGGGTTGGGGGGAATGCAATGGGGACTAGGCTGGGGAACCTCTGGGGCTGGTTTGAACCCCCTGAGCTGCTAGTTGACCATATACAGTACAGTAAAAACTAAGAATGTAATGGGTATGGGAAGGATGCTTACTGCTTTGGAATGATTAAGTATTCTATTATTCTTTCTTCTGCTTCTGCATTTATTTTTATTCTTTGCATTAATCTTACTGGCTACTGTAGTGTTGATGGTGACGGTATGTTTTCTTTCAGTCCATCTGGTCCAGTTCCATGATGCATCCTGGACCTTCGGCCCTGGAGCAGCTGCTGATGCAGCAGAAGCAAAAGCAGCAACGCGGGCAAGGTGCCATGAACCCGCCACACTGAGAACAAAGGGAGACGGCAACCTTTGCAACCGAAGGCCTCCATAACTCATGGCATGTTGGGTTTGCAGGACTGGCCCACACAGTCCTGTGCGCGTGGCAGCCCTCTCTTCTGTTCTTTGCCGTCAGGAGGGCGTAAGTGCTCCACCAACCCACCGAGTGTGCACGGGAAATGTCTGCAGTGCAACGGAAAAGCCAACATCAGGAACTCTCCCGTACCCCCCCAGGCCCTCTGGAGGGAGAGAGGGACTGCTGTTTGTCTCACGGTAACCCGATATCACCGCCTCTCACCTTCTCCATCGTGCATGCCCCCCCTCGACCACGTGGGAAACCTTAAAAAAAAAGCTGAGAATGAAGAACAGATGGGAGAAGCCACTGAGAACTTCTCGATCCTTCTCCTCAATGTTTTTTTTTGGGGGGGACCCAATAGGAATCTATTACCGATAGCTTTGCTGACTGAGAATGTAGTTGAAATTTACTCCTCGACATCTAAATTTCTGATTATGACTCTCTCAGTAGTGAGGTCACACTGAATTCTTCCATACACAGATGTGCTTTGTAGTCGGTGTGTAGCAATCCCCTCCAGTCACTGGTCCAACCAGAGGTGGGTGGTGGTAAATTCAGCCGTGTCTGGGGAGGGGGGAGGTGTGTGCCAGCCTCCTGGGTTTAGAGAAGGAGTTTTGTGAAGGAGAACCTGGCCTGACCCCCCCTCCAGTACCACTTCCACTTTTTCCTCAATGGCTGCCTGTGGATGACCCTGCATGGGTAGAAATTCCAATACTGAAGCGCAGTGGCCGCTGCAGGGCCCCCCCTCTCAGGGCGAGCAAGTCACTGCTATGAGGTTTTAAGTTAAATGGCTCAGACTTCTGTACATTTTATGATAGCCTAGCGACCAGTCTCACAAAACAAAATGGCAAGCTGGTCTGTGCATTCACAGCCTGGACTTCTTTACGTAGGTAGGTAGAAGCTTTCTGTGTCTTTCCCCCCACCTTCTCTCCACCCCTCCCGGTTGCCCCCTTTCTCCCCTCCCTTCTTGCTGGTTGCTCATAGTTCTATTCTTCATAAGCGGCATCCCACAGAGTCCTTGCAGAAGTAACTGGGAAAGCCAGAGGAGTTCGTCCGGACAGGATGACGTGTCACGGTCCCTCTGCCCCGTAGGTGTATGGCCGCTCTGCGGGCTGCCACACGCCCCCTGCAGCCACAAGGTTCCCGTTCTGGAATGGAAGTTCGAGGCAACCAATGACACAGACGCAGAGCCCTTGCACAGAAGCCGGTAGTCCCCCTCATTCCTGCAACGGGTGTGGAATGGGGTACAGGGGTCCTACTCGGTATTTATTGAGCAGAAAAGAAGACGGCAGTTCTTCTTCTCGTGTCGGGTAAAAGGACAGCAGTTCTTTTTCTTTTTTTTCCCGTTCTGTTTTCCGAGGTAGTTACGGAAACAATCTAAACGTCTCAAAGCTGCTGCCGTTTGCAGGAGCGTACGTAAACCAGTTCTGAATCTGCGAGCCAGGAAACGGCTGCAGAGCAAAGCACATCCAGGGTCCGTGGGGGTGACACTGGAGTCGGGAAACAGTCCCAAACAGACTTTACGTAAAGGGAAGCTGTACATGTAGTACTCTTTCTAGGATAGGACGTGGACTCTCTCTGCCTCCCCTTGCTAGCAGTGTTGCTGCTCTGCATTGCATTTTTGAAACTTGTTCCTCCCCTTCCCCCCCAAACCTGCCCCCCCCCCCCAAGGATGAAGCTCCTGCCCTGGTTGTAATCTTGAGCTGAGATTCTCTGTGCTTCTTTGACTCCTTTCCTTCCATCCCGCCTCCCCCTCTCCCCCCCCCCAGTTTGTGTATTTGAGCTGTGCGCTCAGGCAGCTGCGACATTCCAATGTTTTGAACCGCCACTGATTCTTGCACCCGAGACAACACCTAACCAGGTTCCCATCTCACTCTTCCAGCGGTGCCAGGGTCCCAGCCCGGAGGCTCCCATTCTGCATGAGAAATCTGGTGTTTGGAATGTTTTTTTCTCAACCTTTAGGGCCGGGCTCCCCGTTCTCTCCCTCTCTCCCCCCCAACCCCATGCACACACGCACATAATGCCCTTCCGTACTGGGAGCCGCAAGGGACAGGGGGGACCCCCCCCAGCAGAGAAAACTGGTTTGTGTCGTAAGCTTCTTTTGTGTTTTTTGTCTGTCTGTGCAAGACCTGCAGCTGCTGAACTCAGCTTTGCCTTTAATTAAACCATGTTCTCTACAGCCAGCCTGGTGTAGTCACATCATCTTCTTTCAGTAGTCCTTAAGCTTCAATTAATGCAGCCACGCGGGTGCTGTTTCGCTTTCCAGATCAAAGCAACGGGAGGTGGAACTGCTCAGCGGAGAAACGGGGGTCCTGAGGGTCATACTAACCCTGGCGCCAGTTCAGCAGTCTAGGTGGGGCGATGACCCAAGTACAGCTAGCGCCGCTGGGCTACAGTTGCTCTGCTAAGCCATAAGTTACCAGTGGGGATTGGCCACGCGCTTCACATTATGCTAAAGAGGGGTCTACGCACCCATTCGGTAACTTTTCAGAATTAGAGACTGTAAATCGCTGGGCACTGGCAAAGTGAGCCCTTCAGCATTGCTGTGGAGTAGCCTGTGAGCTGCTTGGTGGTCTGTGTGAGTCTGGGGAGGCGGGAGCAGTTCTGAAGAACCAGGGGCATTCATGGGGTTCAGAAGCCCAGCCTGTGAAACTGCAAAAATCCCAAACACAATTGGATTCCGTGGCTTCTCAAAGGCTTTATTGGCATTTCGGTTGGTACCTTTAGGGCTGGTGGAACACTGCAAAGCAAATGCACTGGCTGGCTGATGATTAACAGCCCACTGGAGGATGTCGTCTGGAAAGAGACCAGCGTGTTTCAGTCAACACGTAGGCGTGTGTACCTTTTAAAATGTCCCACACGGCAGTGACAGGTGAAGCGGTGGCAGTTCCTCCTGCTCCATGACCTGCCACCCTTCCTCCTCTACCTGCTGTGTGGCCCACCTGGAGTCCTCTGTGTTAATAGCAAAGGAAGCAAGACAACCTGCCAAAGGCAAGGTTTGTCTCATCTGAAAGGCCTTTTACACCCTGGCAGCTCTCCTAGCACAATGTAGCATGCTGGGTCTATTTTCAAGCTATTCCAGAGTAGAGATGTAAAATTTCTGGAAATTTTGAAGCTCAGGAAAAAAACCCGTTTTTTTCCCGGGGGGTTTCGGGGGGAAACGGAAATTTTTGGAAAAATTGAAAAAATGCTACATTAGCATTTCTTTTGTTTTTTCTAGATTGAAAGTCATTCTGTTACTTTAGGAACATAAAATATGACTATGGACATTTTTACTTGTACAACTAGCATATTAAAAATATAGTGTATCCAAACAATTATATTTCTTCTGACAATCGCACCTCCTAAAGGAAGAAATGCATCTTGTTCTTGCATTGGAGAGTTCAGTTTGTAACTTAGGACTTGCTTGTCCTCAGTGCACAGAAATTAGATCAATCTGATACCATATATACATATATATATTAGAAATGATTTGGAAAATATTTGAACACCTTGTCTTAAAATATTTTATTCATCATGTTAAAATACAATGTTCCATAATCAATTTTTTTTCTTTTCTTTTTTCAATTTTTCCAATTTTTTGGGAAAAAACAAAAAAGCTTCAGGGAAAAAACGGTTTTTTCCCGAATTTTTCCGTTTTTTTTCCGGGCCTTCACATCTCTATTCCAGAGATGGAAATGAGTGAAAAGAGCGCCTAAATTCTGAAGCCCAGTCGTGTATGATGATTAGAGCCAGGGAACGGTTTCAGCCAATGCCCATCGAAATAAATATATCTTCCCAGCGGTTTCAGCTCAGACAGACTTTGTGTCTTCAGTGCAGGGAGCAGGGAGAAGAGCAGAGGGACTCAGCTGGCTCCCTCTCGGGGTTTCCTGTAGCTTGTTTTATGCTTCAGAAATAGTTTCAAGAGGTTGGCTGCTGCGCTCTTCAGTAAAGGCTTTGGGGAAAATGCCCACTTTCCCATTGCACTGGCCTTCCAACCAGTCGTCATTCACTAGAATATAAAACATCAATGTCTGTTGAAGTAACAAAACATAATCCACTAATGCCGAGCATCAGGAACAAGTTGTGCTGTGGGGCGCCAGACACCCCTTGCTGGATTAGAAACAGGAGCACCTACAAGTCTTAAAATGACCCCAGGCAAAGCAGGATGGGGGGGGGGTCTATACCTTTCAAGGTTATGCAGCAGTGGGATTTTGCCAGGGACAGCCTCTCACACCTGCCAGAAACTCTCCCTGCTCTGCAGCTGCTTGAGCTACAAGGGGCCCTTTGCATCTGGCCACTCCTCGTTTTGGTTATTTTGACCCTCAGGAGTGGTGACAAGAATTGGGCAGAGCAAGGGAGCAGTTTGGCTGTGCAGCTCTTCATATTCATAGAGTACAAGCAACAGTGACCGTGCATTTAGTGAAGACCAGCGCTACACTGGCACCAAAAAAAAATAACTGAGAGATGTATTGCTCGGCAGGGAAATAGATTGCTGAGGGACTCAGAAAAGGGTTTTCTTTAAAAAGGGAAAGGCAAGACTAACAGCACAATCCATTGACTTTGCTCCGGCTTCAAACAGGGCCAGGTTATTCTAAAGAGAAGATTTAGTCTCTTTGAGGATACCACATTAGGCTGAGTAGACCCGGTGTGCAAACTCGGGGGCTCTTTATGGCCCCCGGGCATTGCCTGTGCACCCGCATCACAGCCAGTCAGTTTTAACCGCCTGGCTGCAAAAAGGTGGGGTATGAGCATTACAGCGAAGGCAGGGTTGGCTCACAGGCAGCTCGGAGGCCCTTGTCTTCCTGTAACATGAGCCTCATGGGTGGGTGGTGCCTTTCAGAAAAACCTTTGAGGCTCTGGAAAAGATGAGCCTCCTGCCCCTCCCTCCATCTGTCCTCCTGCTCTGAACCTGCGGCATGAAGGAAGGCACCAATCTGAAACCCCAGCGGGTGGGTGAGGGGACAGAGCCAGGGGGCGCAGATGCCAGCTGGTGCTCAAAGCCTTGAAGGAGGCAAGTAGGATTTCCATCTGGCCATTGGTGTTTGGGAGCTGACAAAGCGGAGGCAGAAACCCAGAATGGGAGAGAGGTGTGGGCACGCACACAGCATCCATGGTTGTTGGTAACGAGGAAACGATGGATGAAGGTGACCAAGAAAGCGTTGGGAGGTGCGACTGCAAGGCGGTTAAGAGAGCCAGCCTTGGAAAAGAGAAGGAAGCACCAACTTCTTGGAGGATTCTTGCTGTCCTCAGCAGAGTGTGTGTGTCGATATGCGTAATACAAGTGGTGGCTAAGTACTTAAATTTGGCCCATAATGTTGCACTTTCTGACTTTACTTGGTTAAGCAAAAGAGTTTAGTCACTAGTATACTTGAATGTTTCTTAACCCCCTGTAGGTGGAGCTGTTTGATTCATTTGACACTGTTCACAAGCAGTATTTCGGGGAAGACCGACAACCTCGACTGAAGGTTGCTAAAATGGAGTAAAAGGTCTGAGGAAGGGGAATTCATAGAAGCCTTCCATGTGTGCTTTATGTGTGCGGCTGATAAGAAACACCTTGTTGTTTGGGATTTGCTTACCTTTAGAAAGGACAAGTATGACGTCTCCCTTCTGGAACGCCAGGTCCTCTGGCTGTTTGGCTTCATAACTGTATCGTGCTACAACCTGGTTTGCTTCCATCTGTGTTGGTGTTTCCTGCTGGAATTCCTTTCCGTCTTCCGCGCTTGGGGTATCTTCATCTGCCTGACATAGGAAACAGCCAGATTTAAGTCTCTCTCACCTTTGTCTTAATGAGCAGCACAAAAATTTTAAAAAGGCGTTTGTGTTTATTCCGGCTGATTTAGGCTGCTGGAAATAATATCTCAGGTGATGCCCTTCTGACAGCCGGACATGGAATTCGTCACCCGTGGGAATGAAAAGCCGCTTGTTCTTGGTGCCGGTATCCTGAGCCTCCCTCAGGAACACAGAGGCCCCTTCCCGACTCTCCTTTTGTTTCCATGTCGTCATGTTCGTGGCTGGAGATCACTGAGTTTCCTGAGCTGTAGAGGGAGTGGGCAAAATCTGTTTGGAAAACCTTGGCTTAAAAAGGTAAAGGTTTCCCTTGCTCGAAAGCCAGTCGAGTCCCACTCTAGGGTTGCGGTGCTCATCTCCGTTTCCAAGCCGAAGAGCCAGCGCTGTCCGAAGACGTTTCCGTGGTCATGTGGCCGGCGTGACTAAACACCAAGGCGCACGGAATGCTGTTACCTTCCCACCAAAGTGGTACCTATTTATCTACTTGCAATTGTGTGCTTCCCCCCCCTTCTGGACTAAAATCTTGCATCCCAGAACTGTTTTTTTAATGTGTAAGAATTACCTGCCATGGGGAGGGGAGGTCACCTGCCAAGTCTCTGCATGAGTCACTGTATCATCAGAGTGCAGGGAGTCCTGCTGTACTGGGAGTGATTGTGATTAGATCTTTCAGTCACAGCCAACAGAGACGCAGCCAGTACGATTCCCGCCCTCCAGTTCCCCAGCTTAGGCTGATGGGAGGGGAGTTCAGCAGGTGCAGCGGATTCACAAGCCTTTTGTTTCATATGGTACATAAGTTTGGCATTTGGGAGCTAGAACCACAAAAATTGTGTCTTCGGCAAGGTTTGAAACAAAAAGGCCAATTCAAGAGCACAGGCCAGAGTTAGCCAGGAGGGGAAAGTTCTGTTTCTTTGAAATTCCCCTGCCACCCTTCTGAATGAATCTACGCTACAGCAGTGCAAATCTACTAATACATTTGTTGTCTGCACACCACCCGCTCTTGCTTCTGCAGTCTCGCCTTGGGATCTACCTCAAGGGGAAGAGGCATGAAGCCGTGTGTGAAAAGGGAAGTGCGACAACTGAGCCGATTGACAACTGAGCCGATTGACAGCTCCCGCAGAGCGGGAGACAGGTGTTGTTGTACTTTCACATTTACCAATGGCAGTCTTGTGGCCCCCTGGCCACGTTTTTCATTCTAGCATAAGCTTTCAGGGACTGGAGCCCGCTCTGTCACAGGCACTTAATGCTAGAATGAAAGGTGGTTAGTTTAAATGACCATGCGGCAGCATCACCCCTCTGGAATAGTGTCCAGGTGCCACAGGTGGCCAGTACAACCCTGTGAAATTACTCTAGTTTAAAGCCCATTGATTTCAGTGAGCGTAGGATTCCTTTGATAATTATGCTAAGCTTAACTCTGCTATATGCTGTTCATTCTCTGCCGGATCGTAATCTAACCAGGCCCAGTCTTGGAGAGGGAGGAGAGCACGAGTCGGTGCAAGGCAGCCCAAACCTTACAAGTATGTGTAGTGCAGTCGGTTTAAATGGTTTTTTTTTAGCTATTTAAAGAGTGCAATAATAGCATGTGCCCACCAGCTTGTTTCCAAGGTAGAAAACTCAGAAGCCGCCCTGAGCCTGCTTTGCGGGGACGGTGGGGTACAAATTTGATAATAAAAATAAATAAATAAACCCTTCATTAGAGACCAGGAAAACAGTCCAGCCATTAGAACAGTATCTATATATCTAATAGCCAAGTTGCCCCCGTGAGTGCGAATCGCTAAATCAGCGCTCCGGGGGCACTTGGGGGGGAGGGGGAGGTTTGTGCACACGTGGGCCAGTCCCCACGTGTGCACAAAAATGCTAAACCTTGAAAAAAAATTCGGGGGGATGTTTAAATCCCCCCGAAAGTGCAAGACCGTTCCGTGCGCATGCGCACGGAACGCTTGGCAACCGAGGCTGCCGCCGCTGCTTGAAAGGGAAGCGGCGAGCAGCAAGGGGGAGCCGAGTGGTGAGGGAGCCTAAGGAGTCTCGCCGCTGCCGCCTCGGAGCCAGCCAGGCGGGCGGCCGGGAAACATCAGGGCCAGGGGGTGAAGGGGGGAACCCACAGCCACCGCCGCTAAGGAGCCTCGCCGCCGCTGCCGCCGCGGCTAGGGGGGAGAACGCCGCCGCTGCTAAGGAGCCTCGCAGAGAGACTGTGGGGCAAAGAGAGAGAAGGGGGGGGAGAGGCTGTGGGGCAAAGGGGGGGGAGAGACGGGGGGATGAGAGAGAAGGGGGGAGACACTGGGGGGGAAGAGAGAGAAGGGGGGAGAGAGAGACAGAGAGAGAGACTGGGGGGAAGAGAGAGAACAGGGGAAAGAGAGAGACTGCCCCCCCGCGAGTATCGCGGGTCCCCCCTTGTTATGGCCATAATTGCCAAAGAGCAGCCCCACCCCTCGGTCAGGCAGTGTCTTTGAATGCACGGGCCAGACCGGTGGAAGCCAGTTTTCTTGGTAATCTTCAGCTGATAGGATCCTCTTTAAATAGAGCCATTAATAAAGGCAAGATACTTGGACTTCTTCCTAAAAGAAACCGGGGAATGTGCTTAGTCACTTTGGGCAGTGACTTTGTAAACCTTGGTATTCAGGCCTGCTCCTGTCTTGCGCCCTGAAATGCCAGTGCAAATCCTATGCTTTACAAAACAAGCAAACGTATTTTCTGACAGGCTGGGATCCAACCGTGCAACTCCGTTCCGAGCACCCTAAAGCATCAAGAACGGGCTGGCTTGTCATACAGCAGCCCTTTCCCCCTCGGCTCCATGGCAAACCGCCTCTGAAACAGAAGGGGCTTTCCAAGTCAGGCTGTGATAAGGGTGGAGGAGGGAGAGCCCTGGAAGGAAAAAACGTGCACTGGGCACATCTATATGCTTTCTCTTGAATGGCCCACCTGAAATTTGATAACTGTGGGGTTTATTTTAGGGGGCACCATGGTGGCAGGAGGAATAGGGGGGAGAGAAGACATTTTGTTTGTATGCGTCCTGCTAAGGGCTAAGCGCCACATGATGGGGGTTGCAATTGGATTGGCTGCTGTGTAGTTTAATTGCAGAGCAGCAGCAAGGAAGCCTGGTGTGGAACCGGGGCTCTGGCATCCAGGAAGGGGGATTTTTAACTCTTCCTTCCCCCAGAGTGTTTCCCTGGCCCCTCCAGGATGATTTCAGCTTTGTGGGAAGGGCATACATACAGTGTTCCTGTCTTTTTCTCCCTGCTTGTCCAAAAACAGCTTGGGCTGGGCTGTTTTCAGTTGGGGGAGACAATGCAGGAAGGCAGGATGTCACCAGCACCTCTTCCCTCATTCTGTGTCTGATTTCCATATTGCCCCCCCCCCCTTATTGATTGTGGTTCCCTAAGATCAAGTCTGGGTATTTTCAAATATAACTCTACCACTATGATGGCTCAGCAAGTTCAGTAATAAAATATTTGCAGCTGATTTGCAGGGAATCTCTCCATATGTTACCTTGGTAAAGAACAGGCTTGTATTGGGAAAATATGCTTAAAAAATATATATGCTTAAAAAAGTAAGCTAGAAGGCACCAATACAAAAAAGCGAAAACCTAAATGCCTTTAGAATGGTGTACTTAAATAAGTTATAAATGGAATTACATTTGTATGACATTAACAAGCACTTTGGCCCTTTTCAAAAATCCACCCCTGCGTGATTGTTGGGTTGGAGCCGATGGTTCCGTTCTGTTAGTTGAGGAGCTTTCCTCTGGCAGGGGCAGGTGCTCTGGGGCCCTTGCGGGGAGGACCACCCATATTCCCTAGGCCCCCCCCCAAAAAAGGGTGGGGTGGAGAAGAAGAGCAGATTCCTACCACCAATGTTCCCTCTAAGCTGTGAAGCCCTGTGAGCAAAAATTCTACTTTGTGAGCTGCTGGCATTAAAGTTTTGAGCTAGCGATTTGGCTACCACATAAATTAGTTTGCTCTGGAGCCATCCTTCCTGAGCTAAGACAAATTGGGTGAGCTGGAGGCTAAAAAACGGTGAGCTAGCTCATACTAACTCAGCTTAGAGGGAACACTGCCTGCCACCACTTGTGCCTGCCCCATCTGGGACTCAGGCAGCCGTCTTCTTCGGTGGCTCCTACACAGAGAGGGGCCATCCCTTGCTTGGCCCTGGTGGGGGCTGGCACTGATTCTGGTAGCCCATCCTGAATTTTTGCCCAGGGCCGCAGAAGCACTGAGATAGTCCCTGTCCTCCAGTAGAGGGTGCTTCCCCCTGACAGAAGGGATGGACTCCTTGTATCAGGGAGAAGTGCTTTCCTCTGGAGGGAAGCACCTCTGCTAGCAGAAGAGGCCTGCAGACTTCAGCCCATTGACCCAGAGCACTAGAAGCACAGACCTGATGTGATAATGCATGTGGAATTCTTCTCTGTCCATAAACAAGCAGGCTAATGAGCTACTTACTGAAAATGGAAACTCCGTAATATGGACAGGTTTTTCACCCATGGCTGCAAAGTAGATGCCTGGCATTTCCCCTTCAGAGTGTACCTTTTCCTGGTGAGGCCTTACCCACCTGATAGATGCTGCACCACAGGGTCAAGCGGTAGTTCTGGGCATGGCTCCACACTGCCTTCATGCCGTCCTCACTAAGAGCCACCAGATCCTGGCTGTCTCTAGGCTGGTAGCTGAACAACACAGGGAAAACAAGTGAGTCCAAAACCACCCCACGCTTTGAGCCGATGAGGGGCAAGGCTGGGTAGTATTCCTTACCTTAGCCTTGTGTTTGGGGGTGGAAGCTCCAGCTTCTTGCAGACTTTCTCCAGGAGGCTGCTGTAAAGGAGATCAGGACTGGCCTGCAAGGCTACGGTGTACTTATAGTGGACTTTGATGATGTAGGGTGTCGGGACGGCCAAGCTAATGACCTGCAGGAAGAGATGAAAGACACTGGGTCAGCCTTGCCACAGGCAGTGCAGCAGGGGAGATCTTTCTGACACAGCTGTATGCATTGGGGGGGGGGTGTAAGGGGATGCAGGACCTGTGGGGAGGGGCCATGGCTCAGAGCCTCTGCTTGGCATGCAGATGGTCCCAGGTTCAATCCCTGGCATCTCCAGTTAAAAGGACCAGGCTGGAGGTGATGTGAAAGACTTCAGCCTGAGACTCTGGAGAGCTGCTGCCAGTCTGAGTAGACAATACGGAGTCTGATGGACTGAGGGTCTGAGTCAATATAAGGCAGCTTCATGTGTTCATATGTCTTTGCAGTAACGTTACCTGTAGAAAACAAGCAGCTTACATTTGCATCCTGCCCTCCTCCTGAGGCGTTCAGGATGGCAAAAACAGCTACTCCCTCCCCATTTTATCCCAGCAACAACCCTGTGAGGTGGGATAGGTCGGGAGTGTATGACAAGCCCAAAGTCATCCAGTGGCCTTCATGATCGAACTGGGGATTTCAGTCCAGGTTTCCACTGGTTCAGCACTTTGAGCATTAGATACCACAGTGGCTTTTATTTGCTTGGCATTTTGTAATGGTGACTGCAGTGAACTCAAGTAGCACTACAGGCTTATTAAGTATTTCAAAAAGAATTTCAGACTGGTCAATTTCTAAAAAAATTGTGCATCAGGGCCTGCATAGAAGTTCCTGCCGTGTGCCTGAAGAAACCCTTGAGCTTTGATTCTAAGCATGTGGGATAAAGAAAAGTACTCTGCAAATGCTCAGAAGTGGTTTTACTATATACTGTTACTTTTACCTCTTTGTTTAAGGAAGAGGTGCAGTCAAATAGGAGGGGTGTGGCTAAAAGTATGTGGGTAGGGCTCCAAGATCAACGGCACCTACAAAAGATCTTTTCCCAGTCCCACCAGTGGTTTATTACAGCACATTCTACCCAATGTGTTCCTTAAGTGAAGTGTGGATTGGAGCAGGTGAACTGAAAATTCATTCAGAATTCAAAATATAAAATTTGAGACCTTTAAACTGATTTGGGTTTCTAGATTGCCACATTTAGATGCAGGCTGAGGGAGATTTGTCCTCCAAAATGTGTTCTCTAGTTCTGTAAGACACATATCGGTAGGGTACAAATTAACTGACCCATTTATCCTTTCCAAAAAAAAACCCCACAAACCTAGTGGTGCAAAGAAGTCATTACCTCAGGTGCTCTTCTTCTTCTTTGGCCTGTGAAGAAAACAGGAGAGTTCTGAGTAGATGACAATAAAGTAGGCATTGCACATCAGCAAACAGGTGGCTTAACATCCATGCATGGTTGTAGCTGAAACTGTGCGATGTGCCTCACTTCGGTAGCCATCACCACCCCACCCTCAATAAAAAACCATGAGCTGGGTCTCTCCATAGAGGTAGCAGAGAGGAGCTATAAAAGATTATACTACATCAGGCTGCAGGTGGACCATCGCCTTTTTGGAAAACGGTCTATAGAAATGTAACACAGCAAGGGAAATACTGGGCCAGAAATTATCTCCCTGATGTGGCAATTTCCTCGCAGTAGAATGTTTTGTTTTTACATGGGGAAAAATCCCAGTGGGTATCCTTCTTGAAGGAATACTTGACACTTGCTGGTTTGGCTTGTATCTCATTCACTGGTCATGAACATGGCCCGTTTTTCAGTACACAGTTTTCCAACCTGTATGCAGTTGCTCAGCAAGTTGCTTTACTGTAACCCGTCCTTACAGTACAGTATGGCAAAATGCTTTTCGCACATGCACCTTCTCACACAGCCCAGCTGTGTTCTGCTTCCTGCATGACTCAACAAACAAGTGTTCAAATGTCCTTCTATCAGCCCATTCTGGCTACCATTCACTTCACTGTGTCACCACTGAACTTTTTTTAAAAAAAATGGTAATGGCTATTGTGACTGTGTGCCTGAGCATTATAACTCCTGCCTACTTATTCCTCTTTACCCCCCTGCTTTCATTTTTTAAAAAGTCTCTAGACCTTTTTGTTACAGAGAGTTAAGGGGAAAGATGCATGCTTTATAGAAAGGGTTTTGTCCTGTGTTACTGTTAACTGACCTGAAGAAGGCTTATCAGGACGTTCTGGAGCAGCAATGCTGGGTGGAGCTGGAATGTCCATGTCTGCCTGGTTCTCCTCCTGCATCAAACAAAACAGGTTGACAAATGCGGCTGTGTGTAGTAATGGGACTTCAGAAAAAAAACCCTGCAAATACAACACCACACGGGGATGCCAGATCCAATCGCAGCTCCAATCTAGACAGGCCATGAGGCTCTGAGCAAGTCACTATACTCCAACCTTAATTTTCTGAGAACATTGATCTACTCGATGGGGCCTTAGGACAAATGAGAAACGAAGTGTTCTATGACTAGTAAATAAAAGCAGCGTCGGAACAAAGTGAGATGGAATGTGCAGCTGCCATCCAGAAAGGAAGCTGTGGGTATAGTTCCTTTCTGTCTCATCTAGAAAAGAGAATGTTAAAACATTGGCCATTTTCCTGTGCTGTGTCATTGACAGATGGCAGAACATACTATGTGGGAAATCAGGATCTGGGTAAGTAGTCCTAGACTTTATGGAGGATGGAACTACATTATACATAAAGTCTCGTTCCAGCCTAACAGCTACTGTTCCCTTACCCGGACTGGAGGCTGGTTCTGGAGTTCCATTGGCTCCAGGTAGTTGCAAGGTACGATCCCTTTCTGTATTTAAAAAAAACAAACACAATTCAGACACTGGACGAGAAGTGGCGAAGTCCGGTCCGTGCACTCAGCAATGGAAAGAATCCAAGGTAGAAGAAAGTCTAATCTACACGTTAATAACTGAAGCATTTTATTTCTCTCTTCTCAAACCGATGCAGACTCTTTCCCATAGAAAGGGTGTCTAGATAACCTAGGAGGGGTCCTGCCATCTTTGGGTCAGATCCTGTGCACTGCAAGTACAGTTGTGCCTGTTGAATGGAACTTCCCCACCTCATCCTTCCCATTACAAGCCTGCTGTGCTCCCCAAAATCCGGGGTGTATGTGTGTGTCCTAGAATGTAAGTTAACGGCATGTAGAGGCCTTCACTGAAAATCTCATGTGAGCAGAAGCATGGCTTGTATGAAAAGAACAAGGTGAAGAGGTGCCAACATTTCTTCCGCGTGTGGTTTTCTTTCGTCCCTCCATGCTACACTAAGAGGCAAAGCACAGATCCTTTTATTGCTGTCATGCTTCTGATGTACAGCAGGAAGCAGCCAGCTTTCCTCTGGTATAAAGGCCTGAATGGGAGCACGCAAAGCCACAATATGGCTGTATTAACATGAGGATCTTTGGGATGAAGGAGGAATGTTAGCTCTGCACACTGAACGGAGGCGGGCTCTTCTGTCAAAGGATTCTGTGCCCTCCAGGGAGAGCACCTCTGTATCAGGACTCCTCAGACCGGGGTAAGGTCTGGCTTCCATACCACCAGCCTGCACTGGCTGAAGGAGGAAATTATCCGGAAACCTAGCAATTTTAAAAAATTAGGCCAAAAGAAGTGGTGTCGTACTGCCCGACTGGCCCTGCCTTATAAATGCTCCCAATTCAGCTACGTTCACTCATCTTAGCGACCAGCAGACAGGGCTTCAAAGCAGGGAGATACCAGTGAACCTAATGTGAGGGACCCAGGAGTCTTGAACACAGGCAGTGTCCTGGACCCAGGAGATCCTGTTGGTAGCTCTGCAGGTGGGCTCTGACACTATATTCTCCGTGAAAGACAATCTGCCTCTTGCCCCCCCACCCCCACACCACAAGAGGTGGGTTTAAGCATCCAACATTTGAAGTCAAGCTTCAGTACACTGGCAGCAGAAGAGCTCAAAATGCCACCAACATTTACTTATTTTCTACCCATATACACACACGTTTCCCTACCGTGTAATAGTATATGCAGGCCCGTCGCTACAGTGGGGCTTTTAAGGCATAGCCCAACAAGAATTTCTCCTGTAAATGCTTTTAAAAATCTTTTTAAAGGTGTGTGCTCCTTTAAGCAGAGTGGGGTGCTGTAGCTGACTAATTCCCACCCTGAGCAAGGGGGTTGGAGTAGGTGACCTCTAGGATCCCTTCTAACTCTGTGTCAAGAAACTCGTCTCCTTTAAGAGAGTTTTTCTGCCTAAGTGTTAGCTTTCTTGACTATAGAAGTCATCACCCCCACCTGCCGGCTCGTTATCAGAATTGCTGCTTAGGCTGGCAGACATGATTAACTTGCAGCAGCTGAGAACTGTTATCTAAAGTGGTTGACAGCTTGCAGTTTAGAGATCTATGCTGGTAACAGCTTTTTATTAGCTAACTGGTTTTTTTCTGTACTGAGAACTTCAGCCCCACCAGGAAAAAATTTGCCTCCTAAGCCACAGAATCCTGGCTATGGGCCTGAGTATATGTACTGTTTAACAGAACCAGTGTAATGCGGTGAATTAAGTGTTGTATTTAGATGGGAGCAATCCCACCTTGGAGCTGCGGTGGCTCAAGTGGTTAAGATGCTGAACTGCAAGCTGTAGAAGGTCAGTAGTTCAGCAGTTCGAGACCCGGGTGCCGCATAATGGAGTGAGCTCCCGTCTCTAGTTCCAGCTCCTGCCAACCTAGCAGTTCGAAAGCAAGAAATTGCAAGTAGATAAATAGGTACCACTTCGGTGGGAAGGTAACAGCGTTCCCTGCACCTTGGTGTTTAGTCATGCCGGCCACATGACCACGGAAACGTCTTCGGACAGCGCTGGCTCTTCGGCTTTGAAATGGAGATGAGCACCGCAACCCTAGAGTCGGATTCGACTGGCTTTCGAGCAAGGGAACCTTTACCTTTAATCCCACCTCAGCAATGAATCTCAGCTGGCGGGAGGGACGGGTCAGCTCTGGACAAGTCTTTGTCTCAGCCTGACCTATATATTTATTACTTGAAATTATAGACCGCCCTTCTCCAGTTTAAAAAACCCCATAAATTAAGGCAATTCAGACATTTCAATAAATAACTAAAACAGTCTCCAATGGCACTAAAATGTCAAGTTTCAAGATTAGGTAACTGTCTTGCAGGAGAGGTAGAGAGGGAGCAAGAGAGGGTGCCTGTCACTGTCCTCAGTCGAAAGCGTGGTGGAACATCTCTGCCTTGCAAGCCCTGCGGAACTGCATTAGGTCCTTCAGGGCGTGGATGTTACTTGGCAGAGAGTTCCACCAGGTAGAAGCCAGGTCTGAGAAAGCCCTGGCTCTGGTTGAGGACAGCCAGATGTCTTTTGGGCTGGAGATCACCAGTAAGTTGTTCTCTGCATAGCGTAAAGCTCTTTGGAGGACACACCAGAGGAAGTGGTCCCAAAGATACATGAGTCCGAGACAAGGCCTTGCAGGTCAATACCTTGAACCGGACTCGGTTGCTGTGAAATAAAACAGGGTAGCCCTGACCTGGATATAGCCCATGCTAGCCCTATTTTGGAAGGTAAGTAGGGTCAGCCTACTTAGTTCTTGAATGAGAGACCACCAAGGAAGTCCAGGGGTGCTATGCAGAGACAAGCCATGACAAACCACCACTGAACGTGACTTGCCTTGGGGCCACCATAAAAAAAGAAAAAGTCCTTATAATCTCTGCCCTGAACTGCTGAGGGGAAGGACAGAGCATAAGTATAACAGATAACTCCAGAAGCATACAATTCAGTTCAAGCATACTAGAAAGCAACCCTAAAATAGCACAAGTGCATATCCATGTGCCATATCCATCCCTTTGAGAGTCATCCTTGTTGGCCTTCATACAGACCTTCCCATTAAACACAACCGTGGCCCAATTGTCTTTCTCCTTCTTCAAGACAAAAACAATGTTTCCAGGAAGGACTTGAAGCTCTTCTGGTGTCTCTGGTATAAACTCAAACATGACTCTGTGAGGTGCTCCCTGCAAGGCCCTGTGTGAGAGAAAGCGACGAACAGCATATTATTATTTCCCTCTAATTCTCTTCCCCTTCTTTCCCTTCCACTGGGGCAATTCATACAAAGCCCACACTCCTTGTGGAGCCTGTGCTGAGCTTTAACTCAAGTCCCATAGGAATAGAAGATCAACCACACCACTCAGACCAGTGGTCCATCTGGCCCAGCATCCAGTTTCACACACTGGCCCATTCAGATACTCCTGGAAGGCCTACAGGTCAAAACCTCCCCCTTTTATTGGGACTGGTATTCAGAGGGGCACTGACTCTGAACATGGACGAGATTCCATTTAGTCATTGTGGCTAAGAGGATTGATCAGTCAGTCCTCTATGTAACTGTCAAATCCACCTTTAAAGCTGAAGCAGCAAATCCCACAAGCCAAGCACCCAGTGTGGTGTAACGGTTAAGAGTGTCAGACTACTATGTGCCCAGAGCTCAAATCCCCAGTCGTGCCACGGAAGCTTGCGGGATGACATTGGGCTGGTCACATGCTCCTCAGCCTAACCTACCTCACTGGGTTGTTGTGAGGTTAAAATGGAGGACAGGAGAATTATGTAGGCCACTTTGGGTCCCCACTGGGGAGAAAGGTGGGATGTAAATGAATTAAGAAGAAGAGAAGAAGAAGAGAAGAGATTGGATTTATACCCCGCCCTTCACTTGGAGTCTCAGAGCGGCTTACAAACTCCTTTCCCTTCCCCTCCCCACAACAGACACCCTGTGAGGTGGGTGGGGCTGAGAGAGCTCTGACACAAACTGCTCTTTTTCAAGGACAGCTGTGCCAGAGCTTGTGACTGACCCAAGGTCACATCAGCAGGTGCAAGTGGAGGAGTGGGGAATCAAACCCGGTTCTCCCAGATTAGAGTCCACACACTTAAACTGAAGGAGTACTTCCTTTGCCCTGCATCTACATCCTATCAATTTCATAAGCTGCCTGTGAATTCTGGTATTATGAGAGAAGGAAAATGTTCTCACCATCCACTTTCTTCACACCATACATAATTTTACAAATCTCTTATCATGATCATTTTGAATGCCCCTTTTGCACTTTCCGGGCACTTCAATGTCCATTTCTGAGGCACAAGGACAGGAACTGTACACAGGATTCCCAATGAGGGCACACCATGAGTCTCTATCAGAGCACTGCATTGCGGCCATCTTGTTTTCAAGCCCGTTTCCTAACACTTTCTAGCACACAATTTTCCTTTTTGCATCCCTGGGGCACTGAGCAGGTGATGAAGGCGTCAGGTAGTGGCTTCATGAATTTATGCATATCTGCCCGGAGGTCCATGAGTTCTGGGCACATTTTATAACTAATTCATTGTTGACATCCTGTATTAAACAACTGATTCTGGGAGAGGCCCAGTGGTGAAGCATATGATTTATGTGCAGAAGGTCTCAGGTTCAATCCCCAACATCTCCAGTTAAAGGAGCAGGTGGTAGATGCTGTGAAAGGCCTACAGCCATGGAGAGCTGCTGCCAGTCCGAGTAGACAATTTTGCCCTTGCAGACCCAGGGTCTTACTCGGTCTAAGGCAGCATCATATGTTGGGGGGTGGGGGTGGGATGGGGAGCAGCAAGCCGGTATCTGCAAACATCTGGTTTTGCACATAACAAACGGATTTCATATTTTGAGATCCCCCTCCCTTTTTTAATTTGGGGGGGGGAACACTAGTCTATTGACCTTACCTGAGTATTTCTGGTGTTTTGGGTCTAGGAGGTGGTTCTGCTGCCTGAAAATACACAAATACATTTTTTGTGTGTGTTAGATTCTCCCTCATACAGCAATGCTCTTTGGTCCTTTCTAATCCCAGGAGCTGCTTGTATTCAGAATTAGGGATGTTGCTTTCCTAATATTTCTGATCATGGGGAGGGAGCATCCTCGTGGACACAGCCTCCATCCGTAGTCAGTGTCCTCACCAACTGGCAGTCATGCAGAGGTGGGGTTTGGGGCCCGCGTGCCCATGCACGACCTCTGTGCATTCAGCCGACATACAGAGGAGTTGGATGTTCTAGGGCTTGCATGCTTCCCATGCTTAGCTTTTATCATCTCACCTTTCTTTCCATGTGGACTTCAAGGCAACATCTGCAAAGCTTTCAGTGGGTCTCCCATCCGCATACAGAACAGATTTGGTCCCCCTGAGCTCCATCAAGGCTGCTGTATCATGCCCACTGGGAACTTTTGCAAGAGAGCATCCCCACACAAAGAGGATCTCTACTTCAGTAAACCAGAGACTCTTTATAATATCAAAATGTTTTAAAGTGAGTAATTTAAGAAATGGACCTGACCTGGATAGCCCAATCTCATGAGATCGCAGAAGCTAAACGGAGTCAGCCCTGGATGGGAGCAGTGTTCTCTCTAAGCTGAGTTAGTGTGAGCCAGCTCACAGTTTTTTAGCCTCCAGCTCACACATTTTTTTTCTTAGTTCAGGAAGGAAGGCTCCAGAGCAAACTAATTTATGCAGGAGCCAAATCGCTCGCTCACAACTTTAATGTCAGTAGCTCACAAAGTAGAATTTTTGCTCACAAGACTTCACAGCTTCGAGGGAGCATTGGATGGGAGACCTCCAAAGGAATACCACAGTTGTGATGTGGAGGCGGCTGATAGCAAACCGCCTCTGAACACCTCTTGCCTTGAAAACCCCGTGGGGTTGCCATTAGTCGGCTGTGACTTACGGCACTTTCTACTGCAACCAATTTAGGAAATTAGTTGATGAAACGTTAGAGCTATCTTTTGATGTATTGCTAGGAGCGGCAATGTTTTTCTTTAAACAACATGACACTACCCTTATGCAATGGTCCCTGAAAATACAGGCATTAGATAACAATGCCCACCTTGTCCTATCAGATATTAACTCTTCAGCATAGCCAGCAGACCACGTTGGGAGGAGGGACGCAAGCAGACTTTAAGAAGTAGGTAAAGGTAAAGGTTCCCTTGCTCGAAAGCCAGTCGAATCCGACTCTAGGGTTGCGGTGCTCATCTCCGTTTCAAAGCCGAAGAGCCAGCGCTGTCCGAAGACATTTCCGTGGTCATGTGGCCGGCATGACTAAACACCAAGGCACACGGAACGCTGTTACCTTCCCACCGAAGTGGTACCTGTTTATCTACTTGCAATTTCTTGCTTTCGAACTGCTAGGTTGGCAGAAGCTGGAACTAGAGATGGGAGCTCACTCCGTCACGCGGCACCCAGGTCTCGAACTGCTGAACTACTGACCTTCCACAGCCTGCAGTTCAGCGTCTTAACCACTTGAGCCACCGCAGCTCACAAGAAGTAGAGAAGTCAATAAAAGCGGAGGTGAGCATGGGATTCTGGGTTGGTCATTGGAAGCCAATTTTGTGCCCACTGAGATGTGGAATCATTAACCAAGCAAGTGGCTGGCTGGTAAGAAGTAGATTGATCCTACCTGTGGCTGCAGGGGAGCGAAGCCTGAAAATTCATCCTTGTCAACTACAGATGCCACAACCTGGAGGTGAATGGAAGAACATTATTGCCTCTGGTAAATCAAAGATGGTATTCTCTCTTCTTCTGGCTTCCCACAGACCATTTACATTAATCTCACTCCTGAAAACAACAACTAAATTGCTATGTTTTGGGTGCTAAGTGAACACAAAGAATAAGGTCGCTGATTCAAGTTGGAGGCCCCAACCAGGGAGTAACATGTCTACACGGTGGCTGTTTCAAATCATTGTTACTTTATCTTTAATTTTGTTCAGTGAATCCCAGTTTGAAAACACCTCAAATGAAAAGTACTAGCCGCTGTCTTAATGGCAAAGCCAACAGTTCTATTGCCTTCAACAGCACTTGGATTTATGACTGAGACCCAGGGATCATTTCCTACAGGAGCGCACAGGAGCGGAGCTCCGGCAGTAAAGAGCCCAGGGGGCGGGCACATGCAACAAGCCCCACCCCCTGCTCCCAGCAGCCCTCAGTCAGAGCAAGAAGCAGCCAGGTAAGTTGCAGAGCCCCCCCAGCCCCCCAGCCCAAAACATTCCAGTGGCACCTTTAAGACCAAGTTTTATTCAGGTACAAGCTCTCCCTCCTCTGCGAGGACAGATCTGCATGTTCCCCCCCCCCCAATAGCAATCCAAAACAGTCCAGTGGAGCCTGAGTAGTGGGTGTTGCCTTCTGACACACTTCTGGTGATGTCAGGGGGTGTGGCATATGCAAATGAGCTATGCTAATGAGCTGCACTTCTTTTTCTACAAAATGACCCCTGCTGAGACCACAGACCAAATGATGGCGGGCCATTTACCTTCTTTTCCATCTTCATCTCTGCCTGTTCATTTCCCTTCTTTTGCTTCATCCAACAACAACATTAAGATTTCCAAAATTAAATGCACCCTACTTCAACTGAAGCCTATTGTGAATCTTCTCTGCAAATGTGGAATTCATGTGACTTTTTCTTATATTTCATAAGCAGTGACAGAAGGAATGATATTTTAATAAGCAGATTTATGTTTCTGGCTAGGGTCAGCAACTTTTCAACCACGCTCGATAGCCAAGCCTTTCACAACAAGGACGTTTGGTGGTAATTGGAAGGTGCCCGTGCTTGCTTCCCTGCTGTGAAAAGCCATATTTGCTGATTTCTGTGCATCACACAGCTTTTTGGGACGAGCAGGCTGTACCAGTCTGCTTCTGGCCAGCTGGAAACACAGTTCTGATTTGAGCCAAGTGAAAAGGGTTTGTGTGTTTTTCTAATTAATTTCAGGTGAAATTCACTCATTAATTCAGAATTAATACACAAAAAAATAGTTTTAAAAAGGGTTTCTGGCAGCATGGTTGTTAAGTGTGGGGGCACGGCCCCAGCTTGTTAATTCTCCTTCTATTGCAAATTGACTTCCTACCGTGGCTTTCCCCAAGTAATCTTTCTTTTCCAGCTGTGCCACTTGCTTTTCATTGGGCCGAAACAGCTTCCCTTCAGGAATTGTGATGGGCTCAAAAAGTCTTTGCTTCTGCACATTAAACACACACACGCACAAAATCAATCACTATTATTTTTCAGGCGAGCTGCTAAACACAGCGCTTGCACGAATAATCTTTGTGCATAGTATTTTCATTTTCCATACTTACTAGTTTAAATCCTGCATTTAACCCCTTTGTTTTTTGGCACTACTACGAAAGAAAACCCTATTCTACTTCTTCCAAAATGCTTCAAGAAATGTAACACATCATGTGGCTGCAAAATCTTCAGATGATGAAGGGCTCTTACTTCACATCAGTGCTGACCATATCTCTATCTCACCGAAATACAAAAGAGGATGGCCCCCTGTTGTAATTTTCATAGGTACCTAGAAGAGATTTCAACATGGACAGCTTTTCTCCCCCTGACACAACAAATTCCATGTCCTGACTCTCCCTTTGCTACAGTTGTTAGGATTGCCAGGTCTCCCTCCAGGTGTGACCCAGAGTTTCAGGGGTTTAACCTGTTTTCTATGTAATTTTCATTTTCTGGGTACAAGATAGGATTGCCAGGTTGGGAAATTCCTGGAGATTTGGGGGTGGAACCTGGAGAGGGCGGGGTACAATGCCAAGGAGTCTACCTTCCAAAGGAGCCATTTTCTCTAGGAGACCCAACCCACCAGTCTCCAGCTCGAGTTTGTCAGCTTTAGTGGAACGAGAGGTTTTATCTGGCATGTTTGAACTCTGAGAGATGAACACTAACATAGGCACTGTAACTCAGTCTGATTTCAGGCTATGGGTTGGACACCCATAGAAGACTTCTGGGTGCACAACACTCTTTGTGTAAGCTGAAGCACTAAAATTGTTCCTCGCTGTCTACTCGCGCTGTGTAAAAGTTACTGTATCCCCACTATCTTTTTCGCATGTCCACAAGGTAATTCTTCTGATACAAATGCAGAACCAAATTAAATGAAATCATGTGCACCATATGTTGCACATTCACTTGCACTTAATTATAACAATGCGCTATGTGTGTTGCTTCAGCCATTGTACTACTGCTTGCACAAGCACACCTGCACCAGGTCCACATTCACTTCCTCTCATGCACTGCTGGATCTGACCCTTTATTTCACCCTATTCTATCTTAAGAACATAAGAACATAAGAGATGCCAAAGGCCCATCCAGTCCAACACTCTGTGTCACACAGAGGCCAGAAATACCAGTGCCATCAGGAGGTCCACCAGTGGGGCCAGGACATTAGAAGCCCTCCCACTGTTGACCCCCCCAAGCACCAAGAAGACAGAGCATCACTTGCCCCAGAGTCCCTATCTATACCTTGTGGCTAATAGCCACTGATGGACCTCTGCTCCATATCTATATATCTAATTCTCAACTGTGCCCCCTGTGTGCGGATACCTAAATCCGTGCACCGGTGGCACCTGGGGGGGAGGGAGATTTTTGTGCACACTTGGGGCAGTCCCCAGGTGTGCACAAAAATCCTAAACCTGTAAAAAAATATCGGGGGGGATACTTAAATCCCCCCGAAACTCACAGAGCGTCCCCTGCGCATGCGCAGGGAACGCTCTGCAAACTCCCTCGCTGCCGCGGGGGGGGAGAGCAGTGAGGGCCGTGCGGCAAGCCGCCTGGCCCTCACTTCAGTGCCGGGTTGGGGGGGGAATGATGATGTCCGAGGCGGAAGAGTCCCGTGGAAAGCTGGGCCACAAGGGGAGGCTGGAGAGGCTGGCGAAGTTGGGCTGGCGCAGCGGCAGCGCCCGGCAGGAGGGGGACTTGGGCGACCGGAGCCGCGGCAGCGGTCCCTTACCTCGGCGGGAGCCATGATGGGTTGCAGGCAGGCTGGGGCCCCAGCGGAGGCACTTCCAGCCCAGATAGAGAAACGGGGGGAGCCCAGCGGGGGGTCCGGAGAGCCAGCGGCCAGATCTAGTTCTCATTCCCCTTCCTCCCTATCTGTTGCATGGTGATCCCTCCAGCCGCTACAAACCTGGCGAGTTCTCCTCGCCTCGGCCCCCGGGAGCTGCCGCGGCCCGGAGCTCAGCCCCGGCCCGAGTCACCGCTTTCCCCCGCCCGCCGTGCTCCGAGCGCCCCCTTTCCGTGAGCCGGCAAAGCCGGGGCTGGTGCTCAGCTCTCGCTTCCAGGGCAGCTCGTGGCGCCGGCAAGGCACTGACGCTTAACCAGGAGCCCACTCGTGCGACTTCCAGCGGGGGCTGCCCCACCCATGGGGAGGCGAAGGTAAGGCACTCTGCATGTGCTCCGAGGCACTTCCTTCTCTTATGTCAACACTGAGCTTCATGGTGTGGTCAACTCATTCAGAGACTACGTCCTGGCCAGCCCGATTCGCA